ATGCTTTCTGGTTTGTTCTCAACTTTGGTTGTTTTGTTTTGGTGTTTGTTTGTTTTTTGTTTTTTTTTCTCTAGATATAACATCACTTGTCTTTCTGAACCCGAAACAGGTTTACAGGAAACTATTAGAAACGACACAAATTTCTTGGTAAGACAAATTTGAATCCAGCATTATTTTTCAGTGGTCTTGGAAATCTGAAGAGGTCCCACTTGAGTGAAAGTTGAAAAACATTGTTCCAATTTTCAAGAAGAGCAAAGAAGATCCTGGTAATTATGGGCCTGTCAATCTCACCTGCAAAAATTACAGAGAAAATTATTCTGAAAAACATGATTATTGCTCGCAGGCAACATGGGTTCATGAAGGAAAGATCTTACTCAGTTAATTTGGATTCCCTCTCAAAGGGTGGATTGCCTTTACTGCTTTCCATTCCTCAGTTGCTGATAAGGACTTAGGTGATAGGTTGTCTGACACCACAGTTAGTATGAGATTTGCATTCTATTCACGTATGTTTTAATTCTCTCAGTGCACATTTTACAGGAGAGTACAGTCATTTAAAACCTGCATTTTCTTCACCTATCTCATAAAGATGAAAGAGATATACTACTTTTCCACTGTGGTATAAATCAAATATATTAATCAGCAAATGTGACCTTGCCTGCAGAGTCTGAATATCTTCCAGTCCTTGAGATTTTGTTTGGTACAAAAGGATCTTACTCAGAATTGGCTGGAAGAAGTCCAAATGCAAATGTTGAATTACTGATTAAAAAAAAAAAAAAAAAAAAAAAAAAAAAAAAAAAAAAAAAACCAGAATAATTTATTAGATATCAATAACTTATTTAGCATTTACTGAACTCTGCTCACAACAGATAAAAAATACAGATCTGTAAAAATACAGACTAATTAAATAAAAAGGGTAAAGATGGGGGAGGTTTAGGTTAGATAGGAGGAAGTTTTTCACACAGAGGATGGTAACACACTGGAGCAGGTTGCCCAAGGAGGTTGTGGAGGCCCCATCCCTGGAGGCATTCAAGGCCAGGCTGGATGTGGCTCTGGGCAGCCTGGTCTGGTGGTTGGCGACACTGCACATCGCAGGGGGGTTGAAACTAGATGATCATTGTGGTCCTTTTCAACCCAGGCTATTCTATGATACAAAATCAATTGATGCATCTTTGATTTCCTTTCTGTCTTTTCTGAAAGTCCTTTGAAAAGGAACATTCTCCTTAATGCTTCATCACTTTGAATAATTCTGTCTTTCCTGGTTGATTTGACTTTTTTAGTCCCTTGCCTTAATATGTTCAGATTATTAAGACAATTAAAGACCAACTAACAATTATGAATGCTTCTAGAAAATGCCACAGACTATACATGAATTTTTGTTCCTTAAACAGGTGGTTTCTGCCTGCCTCCAGTCCTGCGTACTTTACACTTTATGACTTAGGCTTGTTTTTTATAATTTTTACAGCTGCGAAATGTGACTGAGCAGGTGATCTGAGACAGATAGCAACACTTCACTGAGGGAAGGCCGTGCCTTATCTGGTAGCCTTCTACAATGCAGTGATGGCATCAGTGGACAAAAGGAAGACAACTGATTTCATCTCCCGGGACTTATCCAAGGCCTTTGGCATGGCCTCCCACCATATCCTTATCTCTAAATTGATGTGATAAGGATTTGAAGAGTGGTGGAAAAGGGATTTGTTGAGAGGTTGCAGACAGAAGGTTGCAGTCAATGGCTCTACATCCAGATGATGATGAGCTATGTCCCCCAGTGGTCCATCTTGGGATTGATGCTCAGTGACATAGATGATGGAATTGAGTGAACTCTCAGCAAGTTTGCTGATGACTTTAAGCTGAATAATGTAGCTGATACAATAGAAGGAAGGGATGCCATCCAGAGGGACCTTGATAAACTTGAAAGGTGGGCCTTTGTGAACCTAATAATGTTGAACAAAGCAAATTGCAAGGTAATGCGCTTGGGTCGAGGTAATTCCAGGTATGTTTACAAACTGGGAGAAGAAATCCTTGAGAGTAGCCCTGATGAAAAGAAATTAGGGGTTTTGGATGATGACACAGCATGAGCCAGCAGTGTGTACTTGCAGACCAGAAGGCCAATGCTATCCTAGGTTCCATCAGAAGGGGGTGGCAGATGGGCAAAGGAGGTGATTGTCCCCCCTTACTCTGCCCTCGCAAGGCCCCAATCTGGAGTGTTGTGTCCAAGCTTGGGGTCCCCAACAGAGGAAAGATGTGGAGCTTTTGGAGAGGGTCCAGAGGAGGGTCATGGAAATGGACTGGAGCACCTCTCCTATGAAGACTGGCTGAATAAATTGGGCTTGTTCAGCCTGGAAAAGAGAAAGTTATAGGGAGATCTCATTGTGACCTTCCGGAATTTAGGGGAAGATTATAAACATGAGGAAAATCAACTTTTTATGCAAATAGACAGTGATAGTACAATGGGGGAATGGTTTTAAATTAAAGAAAGGAAGATTAAGATTGGATGTCGGGGGGGGATTCTGCTGAGTGGTAAGGTGCTGGAACAGGCTGCCCAGATTGGTTGTGGATGCCCTGTCCCTGGAGGTGGTTAAGGCCAAGTTGGATGGGGCTCTGTGCAATCTGATCTAGTACTTATCTAGCAGCTGGCAACCCTGTCTGTCGTGGCAGGATTGGAGCTTGATGATCCTTGGGATCTCTTCCAACCCAAGCTATCCTATGATTCTATGATTCTGTGATGCCCAGAGAAGCAGTAGTCACAACATATCTGTGGCTGTGATTATGCAGCTCAGCTGTGACTGAAGCTTGTGTGGATCTATTTGGCTACCTCACTGCTAGCTTTTTCAGATATTGTTAACAGCATATCCTGGCATGTGGGAAGATGTGTCGCCCACATTGAACTCTGTGCCCTTCAGCCTCTGAGGCTACTTGTTTTTTGGAGATGCAATCTCTAAAAAAAATGTGGTGTTGACATAGTGTGCAGAACTTGGATTTCTCAGCTTGGGGAGTTTAAAAGAACTCCATACAGGCACCAATGGGTTTCATTAGTTAGAATTAAATTGTACAATCACAGAAACACCGAATATCAAGATTGGAAGGGACCTTGAAAGATCCTCTTAGTCCAATCCCCCTGCCGGAGCAGGAACACCTAGATCAGGTCACACAGGAACGCATCCAGATGGGGTTTGAGTGTCTCCAGAGAAGGAAACCCCACAACCTTTCCAGGCAACCTGTTCCAGTGTTCTGTCACCCTCACCGTAAAGAAGTTTTTTTTCATATTTATGTGAAACCTCCTGTGTTCCAGCTTGCACCCTCTGTTCCTTGTCCTATCATTGGATGTCACTGAAAAAGAGCCTGGCTCCATCCTCATGACACTCACTCCCTACATATTTATAAACATTAATGAGCTCACCCCTCAGTCTCCTCCAAACTAAAGAGAATCAGCTCCCTCAGTTTCTCCTCACAAGGAGATGCTCCGCTGCCTTCATCATCACTATAGCTCTGTGCTGGACTCTCTCACGCAATTCCTTGTCCTTGAACTGGGGGCCTCAGAACTGGGCACAAAACTCCAGATGCAGTCTCACCAGGGCAGAGCAGAGGGGAGGAGGACCTCTACTGACCTACTAGCCACACCCCTCCAAATATACCCCAGGATGCCATTGGCCTTCTTGGCCACAAGGGCACAGTGCTGGCTCAAGGTCAGCCTGCTGTACACCAGGATGCCCAGATCCCTTTCCCTTACTCTGCTCTCCAGCAGATCAGTTCCCAACCTGTACTGGTACCTGGGGTTGTTCTTGCCCAGATGCAAGACTCTAAACTTGCCCTTGTTGTATTGCATTATATTTCTCCTTCCCCAACTCTCCAGCCTATCTAGGTCTTGCTGGATAGCAGTGCAGTCTACTGGCTTGTCAGCTACTCCTCTCAGTTTTGTGTCATCAGCAAACTTGCTGACCATGCACTCTATTCCTTCATCCAAGTCACTGATGGATATACTGAATAGTACTGGTCCCAGTACCAATCCCTGAGGGTCTCCACTAGACACAGGCCTCCAACTAGACTCTGTCCCATCAGCCACAACTCTCTGGCTTCTGCTATTCAGCCAGTTCACAGTCCACCTCACTCCCCAGACTCCAGACTCCAGACACTCAGACCACAATTCCTCAACTTAGCTGGGAGGATGCTGTGGGAGACGGTGTCAAATGCTTTACTGAAATTAAGATAGACTGCCTCCACTGCGTTACCATCATGTATCTACCTGGTTATTTCCTCATAAAAGCTATCAGATTGGTGAAGCATGATTTCCCCTTGGTGAAGCCATGCTCACTGCCTCTTATCCTTGATATGCCTAGAGACAGAGCCAAGGGAAAGTTGTTCCATCATCTTTCCAAGGATGGAGGTGAGGATGACTGGTCTATAATTACGAGGGTCTTTCTTTCTGCCCTTTTTGAAGACTAAGGTGACATTTGCTTTCCTTCAGTTCAGAGCTAAGGACATCTTCATCAAAGGACCCAAGAAAAAACGTTGACTTAAAATGGCCGAAGGGGTATTCCAAACTATATGACATCATGAGGAATGGGTTTTGAACAGAATGGGTGTGCATCTCTCTCTCTTTTGCTTCTCACAGGACAACCTGGGAATTGGTCTGGTCAGTTGGAGTTGATGAGCCGTTGCTTGTACATCACTTGGTACATATATTCACACACATATATACAGTCACAGCTATTACCCTTTTAATTTTCTCTATCTTTGTAAATAGTTTTATCTCAACACACGATCTCTACTTTTTTTTTTCCTTGATTCTCTCTCCCATCCCACTGGGAATGGGGAAGTGAGAGAATGACTGTGTGGTACTGAGCCACCTGCTCTGTTAAATCAACAAAAACATCCGCCCTTATTCCCAGTTACAATCCCTTCTGCCAACCACAGATGCTACTTGCATTTGTCAGCCCTTTGTAATTGGAGATAGCATCCCAGTAACCATTTCCTTGCCAGAATACTCTTTTAAGATTATTAAGCCGAAAATGTATGCTAGAACAACAGCCCATTATACTAAATAAATTGAAACAATTAAATAAAATTGGAAAACGGAGGTGAGCCATTACAAAAGGTAAATGAGAGAATTTAGTTTTCAAGAAAAACAAGGTTCAACACAGAAAGTATTAACAAATTATCTATTATCAATAAAATACTGAGCATTAATACAAAACAAATATAAGCCAAAAATAAAATGACCTGTTCCTTTCAGCATTTACCTCATGTAAACAATCTGAAATTTTTTTTCTAAGTGCAGAACAAAGATTATCCTTTATTGTCAAGCCTCTGATATTATATTAGTAACACATTCCCTTCGCATTCAAATTATGGTCCATGCTGCAGATGGTACTTTCTGTGTTAATAATATTAACATGAAAATTGAACAAACTAGTTATAATTCAGTTATGCTCTTGCTCACCCTTGGAGTCTTAATTTCTGATCATTGCCCACACTCTGTCTATAAAATCTGTAAACACACTGTGCATTACAGTGAAAGTTCTTTATTTCAAGTAAACTATTTTTTTTAACCAGTAATAGTGTTGTCAATACATAGGCCTGTAGGAACATAGAATAGAAATATGTTTTTCCAAATAAGAAGCAATCTGGTACACTGTATGCATAGCTAGATGGCTCAACACATATTAGGAGAAGCAATAAAGTTTACTGTATTTATTGAAATGCTGGTGCCTATATGTAAGTTGAAACATGTACAAAGAGTGAAGAGATTGGCTCAGATCATCAGCATGAAGCTGGAGGTTCTTCAGCTGTTTTGCCCCATTTTGGATAAATTGCAAATTTGCATGTTGCAATATGCAATTAACAGCAATTTGTTATCTGTCTGTTTGAATTGGCAATCCATACACCCTCTAACCTTGATTTCAAATGTGGTTTGTAAGTAGAATTACACTAAGGCTTGGATTCTTGACCTGTCTACAACTATGTAGACAGCAAATGTAAACTTTTCACTAGAAAAGCAAGTGTAAGTAGCACATCTCATAAAAGCATCTCTGTAAGCACAGGAGAAGAAAGAAACTGTAGCAGTTCCACTAAACCATCAAGAGGAGCTGATCCTATTTTTCTGGAGACAATGATGTGAACAGATATCAGATTCCCTATGGATTGTATGAAATTGAAAGCTCTAAAATCTGACATAGGATCTTCAGTGGATTAATCACTCTGACATTTTTGTTTCTTTCTCATGGTCTAATTAACAAAAGAAAAATGAAACTGTGGAAATGAAAAACTCATCAGTGGGATATTCTCCTACAGACATCCATATCTATTCAGTGATAACAGGATGTAAGATGACAGAGAGGTATTGTTTACGCAAACGAAAGTTGTAATGGTGATGGGAAAGTATAGTACCTTTGGCCTTCTGCTGTGGAGCTGTCATATACGTTGTTTTACACGTCAGACATTGTAATTAATAGGAAAGGTGAGTAATATTAACATTTCTTCAGCGTAAACATCAAAGCACTCGGCCCCATGTCAGCTCCCACCATGTGTTCAGTTATCTTTCCAGCCTGACTTCCTTTTACTTACTTTTCACAGTTGTATTTTTTGCCCTGGATTTCCCACCAGACTGAGTTCTGGAAGTGACAATATTTCTGTATTTGTGGTTTTGGAAAGCTGTAAGACAGAAATTTAGGGAGATTGAGAGAATATCCTGAGGAAGTTGCACAGAACACTTGATCTGGTCTCACAATCCAACTATTCTTGGCCTCTTGAGCAAAAGGATGTGAGGAGGTTGTGATCTTTGTTCTGATAAAAGAGGCCATTCCATACAATCAGCCTGTGATGCTTGTAACGTGGAGGAGAGATGGAAAGATATAAAGGAGTATTTTTTTCCTATCATTTTTTTTCAGTTCTTTTTAATAAAAGGACTCAGATTATTGCAGCAAAGGTGGATAGGATAATCCTTGCTGTGTTCTCCAGATTTGAAATAATGTCAGCTAATGTCAGCTAGTCCTGAGTGTGGCTGAGGTTTTCTGAACTAGCAACAGCTTATGTGCCTTAACTATTATTTTTTTTAACACAACACCTAGCATAAATATAAAGTAACTGAGTAACATAGGTATTAACTGACTGTGACTGGATGGAAGCATATGGTGACTGCTAATGATGGCTTATATTTCATGAAGGAGTTCTATCATTAATCCAGAGGATCTCACCACAGAAGCATGCCAGTTTTTAGTAGTATATGTTTCTTACAGATTTCTCTTAAATGAGAGCCAGAATTCAATGTTTGCCAACTATTTTCTGTGGCTTAGCAGTAAAACTGACCTCTAGTCAGATTTCTCATTTGCACAACCCCTTTTCTCCATTAGTAATTGTGCTCGATTGAGTTTAAATATGCAAAATAGGTTTTTGGCTACAAAAAAAAAAAAAAAAAAAAAGAAATCTTTTATCCCACCTAACAATCTTCACTTTTGCAATTAGCATTATAATTAGCATAGCTGAACAGAAGCTGTGAGATATGTGAAGATTCAGTGCAGTGAAGAAGAGGAAAGGTTTGTAAATGTGAAGAATGCTCACAAAGCAGCTCAAAATCTAGGGCAAAAATATTGCCATTTTAGTCACTAATTACCCTGTACTTACATATCTTTTAAATAAAAGGCAGTAGTACATATCTGCAAGTGATTCTGCAGCTAGGTGTGTCAAGCAGGTAAGCAGAGCATTTCAATGTTTCTCAGCCTTATAAAACAAGTGAAGCTTCATAATAGATGGTGACAAACAATTCAATGCAAATAGGAAAAAAATACACTGTGAATGGTCACTTGCCTTGTAAGGATGGCTTAATTTACTTGAAGGCAGTTTGTTTCTGCGCTGTTTCTATCCATCACTTTGAATTTTGCAGATTCAGGTGATTTACACTTCAACAAAACCAGACATATAGTTAGGGTATTTACCATCCACAGTTCAGTTTCTCTGCATAGACGTTTCGCCTTATGAATAAATCTGCATTATGAAAATCTGAATAAAACTTATTTCAGTTGTCCTCTTTATACAAATTAATGGCAGTCTGTGTATGAAATCCTTTAACTGCAAAGATCATCATTGTGAATTTTCCTAGGACTACATATGGACCAGAGTTATAACTACATTGAGTTCACTGAATAATAAAGGCATTTTTAATTGAACACTGTGAAGGGTCATTCTTAAAATCTTCTTAAAAATAAATGTTCAGGTGCAAATTACTTGTCAATTTTGCAAGGCCTGGTGGTGCTGCTATCAATAACTGCACAGTACCTCTGTGAGCGACTTTCAGAGTTGTCCCATTTGGCTGCTTCTCAAGCATGGCTCTGAACTGAGGGATGTAGGAGACTTTAGATGAAAGGGTTAGAACACAATCTTGCCCTGGCATTTGATATATGGAAACTATGGCTTAATGTCAAAGAAATGAATGTATTTGTTTTTTTTAATGTTCCAAAAACTTTGCTAATTATTTGCATCTCATGAACAAAACAAGCTGTAAATAGTAAGTAATCATGCATTACTTGTAAATGTTCTCCCTGTACTTTTCCCTCGGTCTCTCCTCATAGGCCATATTCTCCAAGCCCTTCACCAGCCTTGTTGCCCTTCTTTGGACCTGCTCCAGCACCTCCATGTCCTTTCTGTACTGAAGTGCCAAAAAATGAACACAGTACTCAAGGTGAGGCCTCATCAGTGCTGAGTACAGGGGCAGGATTTCTTACCTAGTCCTGCTCACCATAGCATTCCTGATCCAAGCCAGGATGCCGTTGGCCTTCTTGGCCACCCAGGCACACAGCTGGCTCGTATTCATCCGACTGTCCATCAATACTCCAAGGTCCTTTTCTATTAAGCAGCTTTCCAGCCACTCTTCCCCAAGCCTGTAGTGTTGCCTGGGGTTGCTGTGACCAAAATGCAGGACCCAACACTTGGCCCTGTTGAAACTCATACAGTTTACCTTGGCCCATCAATCCAGTCTATCCAGGTCCCTCTGTAGTGCCTTTCTCCCCTCAGGCAGATCAGCATTCCCTTCCAGCTTGGTGTCCTCTGCAAACTCAATGAGGGTGCACTCAATCAACTCATCAAGATCATTACAAAAGATATTAAATAGAAGCAGCCCCTGTACCGAGCCACCGACTGGATTTAGCTCCACTAATTACAGCTCTTTGGGCCCAGCCATCCAGCAAGTGTTTCACCCAGCAGAGTATAAGCCCAACCAAACCATGGGCATCCAGCTTCTTCACAAAGATGTTGTGGGGGACAGTGTCAAAAGCTTTACTGAAATACAGTCCAGGTAGACCTCATCAACAGCCTGACCTTCATCCAGTACGTGGGTCACCTTGTCATAGAATGAAATCAGGTTTGTCAGACAGGATCTACCATTTGTAAACCCATGCTGACTGAACTTGATCCCCTGACTGACCTTTAACTGGTCCATGATGGCTCCTGAGATATCTGTTCCATGACCAGACCTGGCATCAAGGTGAAACTGTTAGGTCTGTAGCTACCAGGATCATCTTTCTGGCCCTTTTTGAAAATGGGCATCACATTTGCCAGTCTCCAGTCTGCCAGGACATTCCCAGTTAACCAGGATTGTTGAGGAATTATGCAGAGTGGCTTGGCAACCACATCCGCCAACTCCCTCACTGCTCTAGGGTGCAATCCATTCGGCCCCATGGACTTGTGAGCATCCAGCTTTCAGAGCAGGTCCAAAACCATCTCATCGTGGATCATGCAGAGCTTTTTCTGTTCCCCATCCCTGTCTACCAGGGCAAGGGGCTGTGTGCCCAGGGAGTAACAAGCCTTCCTATTTAAAACTGAAGCATAGAAGGCATTAAGTACCTCAGCCTTGTCCCGATCCTTGGTCACCAAGCTGCCCTCGGCGTCCCACAAAGGATGGAGATTCTCTCTAGCCCTCCTCTTGTTGTCCTTTACCTCAGTGGCCAAATTCAGTTCTAGCTGGGCTTTGCCTTTTCTAATTTTCTCCCTGCACAGCTTCACTATGTACCTGCAGTTATCATAAG